CTCAAGAACTGCTGTCTATGACCTTGCAAATTTTCTATTTTTTTGATGACAACAATGGTTTTGTAAAAACAGGGCTGCAATATTTAGTCATCTGTCAGAGGAACTGAGTGAATTAAAACCTGAATGTAATTGCTCCTGTATTACCTGGTATCTAAAAAGTTCTCCCAGCATGAGTTGGAGACGCTGTGATCAAAACTGGCTAAGTATACAAAAATAAGAAAAGTTGTTTATAGATAACATACCAAAACTGCTATATTGGCATTCACAGATACATATATTTATCCTTAGCAGTTGTCAGAAAAATGCAAAAATGACTTCCACAGCATGATTTTATCCAGGAGACTGGCTCTAAACTCATTGGCATTCTGCCACATTGTTCATGTCATTGCTGGAAATCAGCTGTTTTTTTGCTCCAAATGACATGAATAATTTTGCTTTTCCTGTATATTGCTTCTTCTCAACCCAGGCTTTCTTATAGAAAGCTCATAACACAATTGGAATTACTCTCTCAGCTGGCCCACAGTGAATCTTGCCACCAGAAAGACTATTGGCTTAATTCCAATGTTGTCTCTCTTGCCTACAATAAACTCCAAAGGAAAATCACGCTCCTTTCTAAAGGTGACGGAAACAAACATCTGAGAATGCTTCTGATACATGATAGTTAAAACGAATCATAAAGGCCAATCTTACATACTCCTACCCAGCCATAAAAGAATCTCTAACACTGTGCGTGAAAGCAGCCTGGCTCAGGAGAAGAAAGACTCTTCGGCTCGACAGCATTAAAGACTCAGATTTAAGCAGGTAATGATGTTTTTTGCTTCCAGCAGAAGGAAGCTGGACTATCCTCTGGAAGGTAGAGTGCACCAAAAAAAAAAAGTTCTGTTACAGAAAGGTTAGCTACTGAACATGTGTGTTTTCCACATAAGCACCCAATATATTAAATATGAAGGGAATATTCCGTAAGCAGGTACATAAATTCACACATATAATAACGTAAGACACGGATTAGAACAGACAACATAGACATTAGCGTAGACATGACAGATTAGTAAATGGTACAAAGATTGGTTAATGTCTCGAAGATTAAGAGTCAGGAATTATAGCCAGAGCAGCAGGGCAGAAGTTTCATGACCATGAAAACATTGATGCTCTCTACAGCCAAGAAAAGCTGTGGCAGCTTCTTTGCCTGGGAGCAAAGCACTAGCACTATGGCAAGGACATAGCTTATTCGTCTTTTAAACTCTCAGCCTTTCCTGTGTATGAAGTAATGAAAGAGTATTGGTTTGCAAATTTATTTTTATATGGGAATTGATTCCACCGTGTTTTGACCTGCAACACTTGCAGATAACACTAGAAGGAAAGTTCGTTAGCAGAAGTCTCCCGTGTGGTGCCGCAGTCATCAGCCAAGTCAAACACTGCCACCTCGTGGACATATATCTGTATAGACACACAGCTATAACAAGAGATGGAGGGGGTAGGTCCGCAGAAAGACAGAGAGATGCACTGTGAGTAAATGTATTCCTGAGCTGAAAACAGTCCTCAACGCTGTCAAACTTCGAGAACAAAACGTTAACGTCTGGAAAAGACCGCCTTCGACTCCAGCGTAGTCATTTTCACACCCTCACAAGTGTGTACGTGTAACTTACACGCACACAGCCAGGATCGCTAAGCTGTGACAGATTTGTGCTTGGCTGGGAGAGGAGGTGTTACTCTTGCGGTACAATTTGCAAGGCGAAAGAAGGTTTCTGCCGGTTTGAGGGGAAAAGGCTCACCAGTACAAGGGAGACATGGAGCTACTGGAGAGAGTCCAGCAGAGGGCTATGAAGATGATGAGGGGACTGGAGCATCTCTCCTATGAGGAAAGGCTGAGAGAGCTGGGCCTGTTTAGTCTGGAGAAGAGAAGACTGAGGGGGGATCTTATCAGTATGTACAAGTATCTGAAGGGAGAGTGTCAAGAGGATGGGGCCAGACTCTTCTCCATGGTGCCCAGTGAGAGGACAAGAGGCAACGGGCACAAAGTGAAACACAGGCAGTTCCATTTGAACATGAGGAAAAACTTCTTTCCAGTGAGGGTAACTGAGCACTGGAGCAGGTTGCCCGGAGAAGTTGTGGAGTCTCCTTCCTTGGAGATATTCAGAAGCCATCTGAACGTGATCCTGGGCAATGTGCTCTAGGTGACCCTGCTTGAGCAGGGGGGTTGGACTAGATGATCTCCAGAGGTCCCTTCCAACCTCGACCATTCTGTGATTCTGTGA